GCCGATGAAGTAAAAGGAAAATCAACCATTTTCAAAACATTTACTTTTCTATTTGAACTCTTTGGTATCAGCTCCTCTTTTTCCCCCTCCTTCCCATCTTCAAGGACCCTTAATACATTATTTATATATGTAATTATATATAAATATATATATAATTATGAAAAAAGATATATGTTTCATATCTTACACTGTCTGCTGTATCCCTCCACCCATGTTTCTGTTACTTGTACGCCACCCCCCCAGGGGGGAGGGGTGTTATATATCCATCATTTGTATGAGTTCCCCCTCCTCTGCCATGCCCCCTCCACCTCATTGTATCAATATTCCCACTACTGTTTCTGAGGGGTTTATCTGTCCTGGAATCCTTATGTTGAAAGCCTTAGCAGTACCAATGTACATACTCCAGTCTAGCAGGATTTGTGGGGTAGAACTGGGGTTATGGTGGTGGGGGGAGGAAACTTTAAAGAACTAGGAGAATGTGGTGTGTTTCTCTCTATACTGCACCCTGGATGAATCGTTTTGAAAATGATGATGACAACATAGGTATACGTTGACTTGATATAATTGATTTATGACTTGTTATAATATCAGTAAGAACCCCCGATAAAATGATTTTAAAAATGAAAATCAACCGTTGCTATGGAGTAGAGAAATTTCATACAATGATCTTTAAATGTGTGCTTTGTAAACTTTATTGCTTTAAAATAATATTACATTTTTTTAAAGTGGGTTAGCCTTTCGGTATTCAGAATCCTAGACATTTTTTTTTTAGTTCATGGAGCAGTCTGCCACATAGAAAGTAAGCGCTGTCTTGTTAATTTACGTTCACCTCCCCTTTCTGATGGAAGGTAGATCAGTAATGACCATATACAGTTGGATACATGTCATGGAATCCACTGCTGCCTTTCTGGCTCTATAACACTTTGTCTGCAATGAATTTCATACTTATCCATAGCTAAAAAAAATCAGATCACACCAGCCATGCAGTTAATATCACTCAATAAGATAATTAATTTCCTGGTGGAAAGAAGGAAAAGCCCATCTATAGTAATTTCCTTGCTACTCTTGCTGAACTTAACTTACATAAGTATTATTTCTTACTCCTCAGAGGAGTCCCTTATTATTTCTTTTTAGTAGCTACTCAACTTGCCTGGCAGATATTTTACAATTGTATTGAAGCTAATTATTGTTCAGATACAAATAATTAACCCGTTTTCACCTACTTTAGAATTAAGTAGGTGAACCCTTTCAAATACAAATGGGCTTCAAAACGATAATGGAACTATGAAATGAAAATAAAGGAATTTTTCACAAACATTTTGAAGCCCCCTAATAGTGAATATATCCAAGTAATACAGAAAGAGAAATTGGTCCACTATAAACTGAAGTAGCAGTACAGCAATATTTACTGAGCACCAACGTTGTGCCTAGTACTAATATCATTAAATGCTGCCAGTCTGGAAGATTTCAGTCCTACTTCCTAAATCTTTCGATATAGGTTACTTATAGACTGTTCTTTATTATTATTATTCCAGAGTTCAAGCTTGATAACTTCAAGCTCTAGGTTTGGTTTTATAAATTCTTAATACCCTTCCCATGGCTCCTGTTGGTGATTTTTAGTTGGTCTTTCTTTGATCAACTCCCTATTAATGAGCCATGGATCAGAGGGAATACTTTTTTGAAAGGCCTTCCCTAAGTGTATTCAAATTCTGGAGAGTTACTGGACTGCTAATCACCAGGTCGGAGTTCAGAACCAGCAGGCTCTGTGAGAGAAAGATGAGCTTTCTTCTCCGGTAAAGGAGCCTCTTGGAAACCACAGGGACCACTTGACCCTGCGCTATAGGGTCTGTGTGCCTGGGGTCCGTGGCAGTGAGTTTGTCCTTTGTAGTGACTTTTAAAAGTTGTTGGCCTGTATCCATATCATCATTGAGAGCTAATGGTCTTTTTTATTTTGTCAGACTAGTATGTGAGAAACCATGCTTTTCTTTATTTTGCATTTCTTTGTTAGTAAGATTAAACATCTTTTATTACTGAGACAATATTAATATTTTAAAAATTGCTTTTCCTTGCGCCTTGTCCTTTTACAATTTGAGGATAGGGGGCCAATTTTTGTTTGAACAATAAGACAACCTTTATATATCTGGGGTTTTAAATCTTAGTCAGATATGTTGCAGCTAGCAGATCCTTTTAAGAAACTAAAAATCTTTGGACTATAACTGTTTTCTAAATATCTGAAAATAGTTATCTGATACTACAGCCTTAATTATCGTTTTTAGTTGAATGGCTGATTTTGAATTCACCTAGCTTATCTTTAGGTAACTTCACTCATTTTAGGTAAATCGCGGTCTGTTGCTCTTCTTTTGACAGGCACTGCTGCTTTGGAAGAAGATGCGCAAATTCTGAAAGTGATTGAAGCTTACTGCACAAGTGCCAAAACACGACAGACACTCAATTCAAGTAGGTTTGACTCTACAGTAATATTGTAAGAATTGTGTTGTTCTCTGTAAATTTACATTCTCAAGTAAACTTCAGTTGGCCCATTGATAGATAGTTCATAGTTGTGTCCGAACAGTTTTTAGTGAGAAGTCTTCCCATGGAATAAATTGAAGCTGAAGTCCTTAGATCCGTGTGAGAAGATCTTTGCTATCTGCAATTAACTGTGATTTTTCTAGTTAGCATTATATTGGGAAACATTAATGAGGAAGGTACTGTCAGGATTTATAAAGTGTTCTTTTGCTTAGAGAAGATGTGTTTAGAAGACAATGGAGATTAAATCAGTTATTTAAACTATTGTCAGGGTGAGATTTTTTTAATTGCCTTAGAATTACCTAAATTATAAATCTAGAGTAAGGCTTTTTTAAAGGAACACTGTTCCCTCCACCCCTTCCCCAAATCTTTTTAAGTGATCGCTTTTTAAATTTTCTTAAACAAACACCAACTTGATTAATTTGGTAGATTTTATTGCCACTGAATTTACCTGTGTCCACTGCACTTAGTGCCTTTAAAGAGAAAATTCTAATACATTTGTGGACAATAAAATCTTTTTCTTTAAAATTTTCCTGGCAATGGAGAATGAAAATCAGTATGATAGGGGCAGATGTAACTGCATTTTTTCTTTTTGTTCAAAGAAAAGGATGGCTTTCCCCTTTCTCGCTACCATCTACGTTGCCTAAATGGTTGGCATTTTGTAGGTGTGCTAGTTCTGAGACAGCTGTGGACACTACAAGGTGTCTTTTGTACTGTTCTTTCTTTTATTGAGTATTTTCTGGAGAAGTGGGTGATTTGCATATTGCTTCTGGCATTTAAAAAGGTATCTGTTAGATTTCATGTTTTCAGTCCCCTCTTGGCCTTGACTTTGGGCGGGTCACTTATTCTCACCTCATCAGTTTCATTGCCCGCAAAATGATGGGCAAAATTTGTGTTACAGCCTTACTTGAAACTAATGCTTATTCCAAAACTCTGGCTTTTGTTAGACGAAAGTAAGGCTAGCAGAGTTGAAATCTACATTGAATCTTCAGAAAATCTGGTGGAAATGTTTTGTGGCCATTATTTTTACCATATCCTATGTTTGTCACTAATACTTTTTATCAAGCATCAACATCAGTCCATGTTGTTTCTGGGGAAAAGGCCCCGCAGGGTAGGTGATTTCGAGGAAAGGTCTAGATAACCTATCAAAATTTGGGCTTAGTGTATGTACTACAGTCAAGCAATTGTTTGTAAATGTAGATTATAGTTTCATATACTTGCATTTTAACTAATAAGCTGTAAAATGTAGCCACAGTGTTTGGATTTTGACTTTCTCAAAATTAGACTTCTCAATTTCCATTACTTGAAATAAAATTTCAACCCAGTAGTCTCAGATGGACAGACCAGGTAATAATGGGCTTCGTGTGTGTTTTAGCGCAAGCCGCGTAGTTTCATAACAAGACACAGTGCGTGTAATGTGCTTGTGGCTTTGCTGCTTCTGGCTGCCTGAAATGAACGGCCCGTCGTCTGTGCAGATTTCTTCTTATACCATTGCTACTTGATTCCATTTCTCCGATACAAGAAAAGCATTGGACAGTACATTGATACGATGCTCAACCCACTCTGTGGCCTCAGAGGGATTATAGTAATATATGGTTTTATACCTAACATTCTCAAGAAAAGGATAAATTGATCTTGTTGGGTATGAACATTATATACTTAAGACAATTTGGAAATGGGATCATAGTGAAAGCAACTCTTCTCACATTCAATGCATACTAAAAATACTTTGTGGAAGGTTAATATTGTGTACCTAAATAAATTTTGATACAAAAAAGACTTAACCAGACCTCTTTTACTGGAAAGCATTTAAGTATGAATGTTTAGGAAGTAATCGCCTTCACAGACATTTTGTGATTTAGTTAAATCCAAAAATAGTCCACTGCTTATTCTTGTGGCTTTGGGACAGAATTAACTTTCATCAGAGGAAGGAACAGGGGAAGGAATCAGTAATTGCTGTGGTTTGCCATCAAAAATCTCAAGGGAATCCTCTTAGGTCTCATTGAGTGTATAATTAGAGGACCCTCTATCCCCTTGGGAACCCTGATGGCATCATGGGTTATGGTTGGACGCTAACCATAAGTTCAGCAGTTCAAGCTCACCAGCCACTCCAAGGGCGCAAGATACGGATTTCTACTCCCATCAAGATTGCCCTTTTCTGGTTGTGCATGTTTCTGAATCACAGTTGCTTGGCCAGTCCTATCAATCATAGTTGCCAATTGCTCATGGGGTTATTTCTGTTCTGCCCTTTTGTACCCACATCCTTCTATTGTCCTATTAACATAGTGACATTACCCGTTCTCATACTTTCTGGGCAAGAAATGGGAATCTGCACAGGATTGATAACCTTGTTAACAGACATGGCTTTCCATTGTATTCATTTCCATTGGCTGAACTCTGGTGAGACTATTAAGGAGAGATACTGCACCCTGTAGATTAGTAGGATGAGGGGAGGTGGGAAGATAGAGGGAAGTGGGCCCTGTTTAATTCATTTCTGCACTCTGAAATTTTTACAGTGGTTTTGTACTGATAAGGTAAGTTTAGTTCCCCTTGATTAAGATGACTTCTGGTGATTTATAGTCTTGGGAAAGATGATAACTGAAGAAGTAAGTCAAAAATCCTTTGAATTCTTTGGCATTTAATATATCCAATTAATGAATAGGAAGCAATTTTTAAATTAGCCACAAAAATGGTTTCTTTTACAAATAATATCAAATGAGACTATTTACATTCATAAAGTGGAGTAGAATTGGTTGTCAGGTATTTTTAGAATCATCTTTTGGAGTTGGGCTGGATTTGTAAAGATTTCTTAAATTAGGGCATTAAACCAGTAACTTTTCAAAGAAGCATATTTTGAAAGCAATAACTTAAGTTCGTGTAACAATATTGATTTGATTTGATTCTAAGGAATGTACTAAGTTCATTTTTAAAACCCAGCTATAAGTAAGGATAAATAAGCACCGATGCCATTTTGTAACAATATTTTCTCTTTCCCTTCTCTTCCCATCACCTTTTGCTTTTGTTTTCATGTTTTTTGGTTGTGGCTATTCTTGTTCGTTTTCCTTTCCATCCCACCTTTGCCTATCCACACCTGTCATTTCATTTCACCCATACATCCTTAGCATGGCAAGGCACTGACCTGATGCATAATCACGTCTTGGCTGATGATGACCAATCAAGTCTAGACTCCTTGGGTCGTCGCAGTAGCCTTTCTCGTTTGGAGCCTTCAGACCTCTCGGAAGACTCTGACTATGACAGTATATGGACAGCCCATAGTTACAGAATGGGTTCTACATCTCGTAAGAGCTGTTGCTCATATATCTCTCACCAGAACTAATGCACTCTGAGCTTTTCTTAACAAATGCTTGTTGTATCACAGCCTGCTTCTCTTAGATGTTTTCTTGCTGTTCCGTGTCTCTTTTAATGTGATATTTTAACAACTTTTGAGAGCGTTTCTGATATTTTCCATTGTACTTTGTGGAGGCTTGATTGCCAGTTTGAAGATACATTCAAATGAACTGACTGTTGAAGGGAGATGGTATAATCCTAAGCCAATACCTGAGGGGTTCTTTGTTGACTGGATAGTGGTTGTTTTTAGCTCCAAATGGTTTGGTTTTTTATTCTCAGCGTAGCAACCGTTTCATTTCTTTTTGGATACAGCTGTATAAACACTTTTATATTTTATACTGAAACCATACAGGTTTGTGATCTAAGTGCCAGCAATATGGAGGAGACTTTAGCCTTACCATAATCAAAAACTTTTTAATGTAAAATAGACACACTGATCAAGTAGTTATTGAGAGAGAAGAAGAAAATATGCAACAAAAGTACTGTAAATTCAACTCAGAGAGCCGTGTTTCTGAGAAATCTGTTGGGAACACTTGGTAATCTTGACGTGTGCTCTGTTTATGTTGCTAGTGTGAGTTCTTTGCCTTGGCAGATGTAAAGAAGAGTCTGCTTTATGTCTCTTAAGAGGTCGACTTCGCCACCCACCCCTCAGCGCTCCTCCGTGTGCTGTCACGACAGTCTCCGTGTTTCCCATTGGGCCGTGGCGCTGGGGTTCTTTCTCCAGAGCAAAGTTACTGTCAGAGCTCAGCCATTCGCTTTGATTATCACACCAAGCTTTCTCTAGGAATAATTTGTTAGCCAGTAAGCCTACCACTCTACGAAAGGTTAAAAGACAAAATCGGAAGTATTTGGCATCTAATAGAGTAGATTAGACTGAGCTCAGATAGATACTTTGGTATTACAAAATGAAATGCTTTGGCTTTAGTCACAGCTTGGCTGCCCCCCTGACATTCATACTTACGCTGCCTGTAACGGCCATGAACACGTGATTTGTTTTCAGCAACAAGCTGCAGTGAAACTCCATTTACAGCAACCCTATAGAGCATAATCTGTATTGTAATGGAATGTGTGTAAGTACATTGAAGAGTTACTAGGTTGTCATGTAACTCATTCACTTTAAAAGGCTCAGCTTTGGGGGAGGGGCTCCCCGCTTGCTTGGGATTTGTTGTAAGGAGATTTCACTGGCCTCACTCAGACTAATTTTTGCTTCAAAGAGAACTGAATGTGACATGTTGCATTCAGTTGTAGCATTCAAATCTACATCTGGTCATTTATAGAGGGGAAAAAACTGTTCTCTTCGATTTGCATTGTATTAAACTGGACCCTGAAGGTTGTATTTTAAGAATTTATTGAAACTAGCATCCGCAAACGAGATGTCATAATAAATCGGGAATAACATTTTTTCCTTTCTTTAGGATGGCTGTAATTCCAGGTGGCTGTGATTTCTCTCTTCTTCCACCACCCCCTCCTTCGCCAAACCCATGTATTCAGTGTTCCGATTTTGTTCACTTAGTGATCACTTGCTCTAATCCATGATTGTCTCCTGGGAGTTGGGTTCTGTTGCTCACAAGCCCAGAGGTGCTAGTGAACTTCCGCCCGGGACCTCTGTCTCAGAGTCGGGCGGCTTGATTCCTTCCTTACCCAAGGCGGCCATTCTTAGTGAGGTCATGAGAAAACTGTTCGTTTTAAGTATTTGCTCCTTGGGAAGTAGTTACTGAACTACTTATGTCATCTGGAGATTTCATATTTTTTATAGCAATTAATATATATAAGAAAGTTGAAGAGTAATCTTTTAAAATTAGTCAGAGCCCAGTATTAATTCACAGTAGAGATTGAGTTAATGTATGGTCAGCCAAATGGCAAATGGAATTTTTGGAGAAATATAATAACTATAAAATTTATATACTTAATACCACCTAATGACTATAGAAGCAGATTTTGTTTTATATTGCATAGAATAGACATCTTTTCAGATATAATAGTAGAATATCTGTTTGTTTGCTTTGAGTCTGTAATACTTTGTGCATTGGTTTAAATAGCCTTTGCCATGCCTTAGGAAACTTGGGTTGTGTATGTCATGTGCTATATATATCACAACATTGAAATGCAGTTGCTGCACTTGAACTTTGCTTAAGCACCACGTATCATTTGGATTCTCTTGATTACAAATTTTAATTGATATTCTATACACCAAAGTTTTGACAATTTACAAGTATTCCTTTTGTACCTGTTAAAACCACTATGTTGATGATTTTCTTTAATGCAAAGATTACTGCTGAATAATGATAATCTGTTTTTTTTGTTTTGTTTTGATTTGTTTGGAATGTCTGACAACATTAGCTTTTGTGACCTGGTTAGAAGTATTAGTGCCACAGGCCTAGGAGAAATTCTAGTGTGGCAACAGTGATATGATGTTCAAAGGGTCAGTGTTTCTATTTTTGTGGAACTTTAGTCATGCCAACAATAGTATTTTCTGTTTATGCAATTTTGTAATATATATGTGTACAGTTAGCATTTTAAGGAAAGGATGAAGAATCTGAATTAGAAGGTAGGTTTAAGCCATTATCAAGCCCTTTACAAATGGCTTAAATGGTGTTCCCATTTAACTAATAATTGCCATAACTACATAATAAGATATATTACTTGTGTGTTTTGCATACTATTGCCAAAACACAGTAATGTGTATATAGTGATATAAGACCTTTTAAAAAATCTATATATTGTGCTTTTTATCTGTCCATGGGAAAAGCCATTTTTAGTAGCTGACTGCCATTTGAAAAATTAATTGGATGTATATCTGAATGTTGTATTGTATTGTACATTATGCATATTATTGTTCGTGGTTGCATATGGCAATGAAGTGTTTGTTTTATATAAAAAAGACATCTGTTATGTACAGTTGAAATAAATTTTGCATTTGCTAGCCCGTGGCTTTTAATATTTGTTACATGGGGGAGGGGGCACAGCATAGTTCATAGTTCATTGCTATTGGGCAGTTCTGAGCATACAGCGTTCCTTCTCCCAGTCTCCCCCAGTGGCAGGTAACAGAGCACCTTCTGCCTAACTTGATAGAAAAAGTTGCACTTTCTTAGGGTTATACATGTTCTTGACCCTAATGTCACTTTTTTGTGTGCCTCTCAAAATTCCATTTATTTTTCTCTTTTGAGAAAATAAGCTTTTCTTTTTAAAAAGGGGTTTGTCTTTAAGAAGCAACATTTACAGCTTTTGTGCATAAGTGTTGGAGAAAAGCACAACTGTCAAAAGTTTTTATGTAGACTCAGGTGAGATAATACTTTTTGCCTGAGGAAATACACACCAGGCTGATAAAAATAGAATGAAGAAAAATACATTGCACAGGTGCAGAACTAAATGCTTTTAGTGAATCAATATAAAGACAACAAAAGATAAACAAATGTGAATAAGTCTCTAAAAATACTATTTATCTGTTCCTGTCTTGAAAAAAAAAAAAAAGGGAAGGGGGTGTTAAAATCCTATTGTAATCTTAAGTGCAAAATGACCTGCCAGGTTTTAAACATAATTTATTAAATAAATGTTCTTCAAAGTGTGATACTTTGTTCTAGTCTGTAAGTTACCTTCATTTTAGTGGAGAACAATTAGATGCACATTTTAGAAAAATTACCAATTTGAGAAAGCTGTGGTTCTTTTGTTTTTCGCTTACAGAAGTGCTGGATCGCAGGCCAAGTAGACAGCTAGTCTTCTCTGATGAACTTAATCTGCTTTAAGCTCTGGGCACACACCGTCTTACATGTGCACACACATAACGAAGGGGCTTCAAAAGGCCTAAAGTGAAAGGAAAAGATATTGGAATTTTCCCACAAACTTTGAAGCCCCTTTGCCAGCTACACACATATTCTGAATTTCACACAGTACCGTTATTTCTGAAGCAATTTGTTCTGTGTAGCTTTGTAAAGTACCAGCTCTTAATGATGTCCTAACAACAGGAGCAACCTCAGGGATGGGGCTCTGGAGCTTGGGGTGTGAATCCGTTGCTGCCCCTGGGCCAGTCGTCTTGTCTCTGGTGGTGTTGTCTATAAAAGGAAAATGTGAGGCCAGATCTGTGTTTCTCCAGCTGAAGTCTCTGGAAGTTCTCTGGATGACCCATATTTTTATTTTGGAGTGGGTATTCTGAGACACCTCTAAGAGATTTAAAATTTCATGTTCGTGTTCATTTATATATGTTCTCCGAGTCACCACTCTCTGAGTTATCTCAGAGAGTGTGTCCACAATTAGGTGTCCTTGTGTCCACAATTAGGTGGACACAGAGTGGCCACTGACAGTGGCAGTGTTGAACTGCAGGACGTTAGGGTGAGCCCGGGGATCTTCAGGCGTGTTCTTGGAGAAATGCTGGCTTGGTGCAAGTACAAACCATCGTCTCATTTTCATGTTTGTCCTATTCCCACCCCCGTACTGCAGAGGCAGGGGAGAACCAAACCAGCCAACAATTGTTTGCATGCTATTTACAGGCACAGACAGAGGTAAAGGCTAGTCTAGCATGTTTCAAACTCATACCCAGAAGAAAACTGTTAATATTGATGCTATAAAAACAGAGTTCAGAACTCAAACAAGTTTAGGAAAGGCTGAGTTAAAGAAATACTTTTACTGCAAAACCTTATGCAAATGTTTTACATGCTAAGTGTAAATATCTGAGAAGTGGTTATAGTGTACAACCTGTCGGCAAGGTATTTGTTAAGGAGCCCTTCTTTAGCTTCTGGAAGGATGCAACTTTGTGTTTGGCACACAGCTTGGGAAACACAGATCTTGACGGTGCTAGAATCGTGATGAACATGTTCGGTTGTAGCAGAACCAGGTGATTTAAAGATGAGAAGATGCACTGTTCTCTGGTAGGTAGTTTGGTACCTTGTTTTTCCACGTCAGGTACTTCAGGAAAAGACAGGCTGTGATAGATCTGATAATGCTTTTAATCATCTCTGTGAAATGGTTAATACTGTCTTCGAAACCTTAGTTCTGAAAGAAATAGCCAACTTGTAATTCTAGCTTAAAAAGATTTACTTATTGTTCTATTGAAAGGCTGTAAGGGTTTTTTGTCATTTCAGAAAATTTTACTGAAATATAGAATATTAGCATTACATGGTACGTGGATTTATTCAGGCTAAGTCATCTTGTTTGAAAGTCTCCAGGCTAACTGCCCGATTTATTAATGGCATTTTAAAATATTGACATATTTTAAAAATAAGAAAGTTAGTAGATTTTGCCTATAACAATAGTCTCAAAATTACTGTTAAATTCGTGTGTGCCTCAAGTGTGCTTGGACACATAAGTACTTGTCAGCATATGTAAATATTCATCGGTTATTACAGGCTTAGGATCTCCCCATTCATATATTTGTTTAAGGTTTTTATTTTCATCAATTTGTTCTCTAAAGGATACTTAGGAAGTGTAACTTTTTAAGTTCTCAGAGAAGCTCTGCAGAGATGGCTAATTATATTATTGTTTTACAGATAATGAAATTGAAACGCAGTGGTTCAGTAATGTGCCAATGTTTATTGAAGCCTCTCCCCAGAGTGGGGTGTAAACTCCCAGTCCCCAGGCCCGTGGTGCCTAGTTCCTTTAGCCATAGCACCTCTATAAAACACGCCTGACCTTTTCTTTTCAAAGTGAGCAAACTTTGTGACACTATTTTCTTTTTTTATTTGAAAACTTGAATTCTGATAGTGAAAGCCTTAATAAGAGATGATGTAAATAAGTTGCCTAAGAAGGTAAACATCATAAAATAGTTGAAAAGAAAAACATAGAAATTTGTCCTCCTAGAGTACCATTGCATAAAAGCTTTTTTTCATTCTGTATACAGCTGATAGCCTGTTTTGGTGTGAATAATAACATGGTCATCATCTGTTTGGACTCAGTGCAATAGAACTGGGTAACGATAACAGTAGGAAAGTTTATGACTCAACTAAATTGTCTGACATCATCAGTCTGCTTCTTTTCACAGAGGAATTTAAGAGAAACTATTTTCTACACATACGGGATAGAGAAAATTTTTCTGCACACACAGCACAAGATATGTTTCAGAAGCATAGGATTCCCCTTAACCTTTAGCTCTCTTCAGCCCAGGAGTGCCAGGTGCTTTATAATTCCGTTTCACATAGCAGCTTCTTTCTTTAGCAGTGTTTTTCCAAATGGCCCAGATATTCTAGCAGTGTTCCCCACTAACCAGAAAGGCCCACAGGAGCTAATGTCACGATCTAACCGACTTGCAGCCAGTAGAGCCCTGGGAGCCTACGGAGTCTTTTAAGACCGGTCCTGTGGTCATACTTGTACCATTTGAAGGTTATACTTCTTTTTTCTGGATTCTCTCGGATTCCTGGGGAGCCATTATTGTTGCCATTTGCTGCTTTTAAAACTGTGATCCTTTCTGGGACCATAGCTTCACATATGTGACATTTTGCCTGAAAAATAACTCCCTGACCATGGAGACCACTGTGTGACAAAATAGTATGTAGCTGTGCAGAGGAAGTATGAATAAAACAGTGCTTCCTTCTCACCAGCAGCTCATTGATAGTGTTTATAGCCTCGTGTAAGAGATTTTTTTTTCATTGTTTATATTAAAAAATGTTTCTGGTTCTTCGGGCTGTTTTCTCTTTTACATAAAAGTCCGTGGGAAAGGTAATATTTGATAAATGTTATTTGTTCAGTACAGCTTAGGACAAAATTCCGAGTACTGTATTTGATCGTTTGCTATAATTATTCGTTAATACATGCAAAGCTCTTCCTTTTATTTTCCATATATCGTGAAACTTGTGCTGTGTGGCATTGCATTGTGCTTGATTGCCTACCTATCATTTAATACCTGTGATACAGAGGGAGAAAACAGTACCTTCACTGTGTTTAGTTTTTAACTTTGATGTCACCACATGCAGTCTATGAGACATGTAGTAACACCGCTGTTACACACACACACCCTGTACCTTTTGAATAGATTGGCTCATGATGACCCATGTATATCAGGACAACTGTACTTCATCTTAGTGTCACTCACTGGCTACGATCTTTCGGAACCAGATTGCCAGACCTTTCTTCCAAGGCACCTCTGGGTGGGTTTGAACCACCAACCCTTCAGGTATTAACTGAGCATGTAGCTTTCTGTATCACCAGTGAGCAGGTAGTAGTCACGCCTGCTTCACTTAACCTCCCAGGCCCTCTAGAACAGATATTACCATCCCCATTGGCAGATATAGAAATGGCAGCCTAGAGAGTTTGTTATTTATCCATAATCACCTGACCAGGAAAGTCTAATTCAATGCCTTGCAGGCCGCTGGGTTGGAACGGCGAAAACAGACCTTTAGATGTCTGTGAAGGTGTCTTGTCAGGAAGCTCTGATAATTCTGAAACTTGTTTCGATTAGAGGCATAAAGTTTTAAAATGCCGGTCAAACTAGTCCTTAAAATCATATCTTTAAACAGTTTTATTATACTGAGGCTACTCAACAAGTGCCATTCATATAATTTGATGAACTTTTAGGAAGACCTGGAAAGAAAAACAAAAATTAATAAGTTAAATCACCATTTCCATAATTATTTAGTGTAGTCCTCCCGTTAAGTGTATTTATTAATAGACAGGTCACAGTTCCACTTGTAGTTTGTATTCTGTGGGTAGATTATAGCCTTAATTAAATTTGCCCCTGATGTATCTGTTTTGTTTTGTCTTCCCAGCAATGTAGATGATATACCAAAGACTTCAAAAAGTATGTGGGGAAATGCCATTATATTTTCATTCCATTTTTCAACCAACTTTGTGAAGCACCTTTAATATATAAGCTATAAGAACATTTTCTTTTTAAAAAAGGATTATTTTCTTCCTTATATCATTAAATAGGAGTTGATTTCTTTTTTCTCACCTTTAAATATTTGGGCTTCCTAATTAATTTCAAAAGTAACTGTTTGACAGCAAACATTGAGAGGTTGGCATTTGCATGATACTGTGCTATATGATTTTTAAATGTAATAAAAACTTGATGTTGGTGTAGAGTTTATCTCCTTTCATTTGAAAAATGTTTCTACTGCAGGGAATATAAAGTAAAGTTTTCCTAAAAGAACAAAAAATTTAATTTTGCTATTTTGAAAGTATATGTCATTAATATTTTTTAATTTTACATCTTACTGTAGATTGAAATATTTTTATTGACAGCTTTTAAATTTTATAAACATCCAGTGTATTGTCTGCGTGTTCTGGTATGTCTTTTTAGAGTACTTGATAATAATGGTTTTAATTTCTAGAGAAATATAAGCAGACCCTTTACCATGTGAACATTTCAGTGTTTAAAAGAGGTCCATAATCCAGATTTAGACACTGAAGTTCAGTGAATTTCAGAAAGACTTACACGTCCGTTCTTGTGCACTGCCTTAGATATCGCAAGGACTATGGGGTCAGTAGACCAAAGGTAGTGAAATTTGGTAAAAAGATTTTCTTACTTGTGTTATCTTGATGTAAATGCGTTTTACTGTGCAGCCCTTGGAATTTAATATTTAAGTAGATAGTGTTGTATAGTCGAGTTGTTTTTCTTAATACATTCATGGTATTTATCTGCAGTTTTGTTTGTTTGTTTGTTGATGATCCTAGGTTCACGCAAAGAATCTGCTCCACAAGTTTTGCTTCCTGAAGAAGAAAAGATCATTGTCGAAGAGACTAAAAGTAACGGTCAGACAGTGATAGAAGAAAAGTAAGATGTCTTCTAGTACTTCAAGCAGGCATGGGACCGCTGCTGTAAAGGAGCGGCTCTGGCTGGAGTCCGAGAAAGAGCTGGAGCGCTGGGCAGGCCTTCAGACAGCATTTTCTCTGCAGAAAGTAGAGAAAATTAGGTTGTTTTTAAGTGTGTAAACGGAGGGCTTTACCAAATAGGGCAATGAGCGTTGTTAGATCATTTGGCATTATCGTTTTCAGCTTGATAAGCTTCAGGATAGCTTCTTCATTCCTTGTCCTTATTTATGTGTTTATATTTTATTTTCTCTTCTAGGAGCCTTGTTGATACTGTGTATGCATTAAAAGATGAAGTCCAAGAATTAAGACAAGTAAGTCAATTTGTTTTGTTATTCTTATATATATGGGGTTGTTTTTTTTAATGGGGAAACAATGCTCTATTAAAAAGATGCTGGTTGAGTATAAGCAAGAAAATACTAAGAGGGGATCATATCTTTACAAACTCCAACACATAACACAGATTTGGTCTATAAATCTCATAGACCAGGAGACAAATCTTTTAAAGGGCATATTTAAACTCTTTGTTTTCATAACTACTGTTTTTGATATTATGAGCCACCCTAAAGTTTTCTGGTAAAATGACTTAAATTATCTAAAATTCAGTTCAGTTAAAAATGTTATCAGTTACCTACAGTGATTAGCCTCTGCCATGTGCTGAGATGAGAAATGCTGGCTTTTGTTGTAGGCAAAAGCCTACAACAAAACAGTAAGTTCAACTGTTCATGTTGAACTTACCGGTAAGTTCAACATGAACAGTTATCTATAAGAATTGTATACTCCTCTTGATGCTTCCTGACAAGGAAAGGGAAGATTAGAGCTGGCCTGGGAACTGGGCGTGCCACATAAATAAGACGCAGGCAAAGGAGAAGTCCAACCTGGTTTGGTCTGATGTGCTTGCGGGGGCAGGAATGGTCCAAGGTGATGGACGACCAGCTAGAGGTGCAGGCTGTGATGAGCATCTGAACATGGCATCAGAGCTTCATTTGCTCAGCCATAGCAACAGCCAAGTAAGTGGAACAGCGATGATAGGCGCCTGCTCAGTATGGTCAGATAGGCCAATGTGGCTAGAGAATAATGAGCAAGGCGGAGAGTTAGGAGGTAAGTCAGAGTGAGAGCGGTGAGTCAGGGATTGTCATGTTCAGCCTTACAAGCCACACAACTTTGAACAACTGAGAAGCAAAGTAAGCTCAAAAGTTAGATTGATTAAAGATATGTCGATCTACATCACCCTTATTTTTCATTTTTACAAATTCATTCATCCTGATGCTTTTTTTTCTTACGTTGGGATTTAATATATCATTCCACATTTCTGTCACATCAAGTACAATGTACA